GAAAAGGACAATTTTTGGTCCCTTCACCTGTCCCAACCCTACTCAACCCGATCCCTCCACCTAAAGTGGGTCCTATTTGAATTAACTACCCATGCTCCCCTTGTTGATTGAAAGCGAAATAATGTTTTATTAGTGTGTATTTATTATTTAATATTGATGAAATCTATAATGCCTCGTCCAACAAGACATGCCACATGACAGTCAATAAAGAAAGAGCAAGAAGTCATGCAAGATTCGCACTCCACACTACCTTGCCTTCTCAAACTCAGACTAAAGCGATCGAGCAAAAGGGCTAGGTGATTAAGATGCCTCGTCCGAAGCGACCACCTCATTCAAAGCGTGATGTTCAAGATTAGGAGCCACAAGTTACTACAGTAGATTTTCAAAGCATCAAACCTTTTCTTCATGTTCACGAAATATTTTCTTTCGATTTAAATCACCGCAAGTGTACAATTCGTTAACAAGTAATAAAGTGAATTTCTAGAGTCCAAATATCGTCCCACAAAAATTAAGTAGTTCAATTGTATTTATCTCGGCCTTAACTGAATCTAAATGATCAATTATGAGTTTTTATCCTAAGAAATCCTAAATCTAAGCTAAAGTATCAATATTATGAATTGGATGGTATGCTATGCAGCACAACGTTTAAATTAACTAAAATACAAATGGATGTTTGAGACGCAAGTTAAATGTATTCAATGAATGTGAGATATGTTAGAATCACGGATTTCCAAGTAATGTTCAATTTAACTTTAATTCCACACTTTGACAACACGATGACATTTTGAAGAATCAATACTCTTAAATTTATCCAACACTCTCTCTTGAAATGAATTGAACATATTCTCATACACCACCAACCATATCTCTATGACGGATGCAAATATACGAGAATGCACGTAGTTTTGTGAGTACTTAGTGATTCACGTAAAGTATAAGGATATATTTCTATTCCTTATCGGACCCTACGATGATTTATACCTTGTCGAATTCATTCATCTTCTTTCAAATAGATGAAACAAACAACCAAAACTCACACAATTACGAGGCCTTAATCATGGAGGCAATTGAATGCATATAAATCATTAAAACAATCAATATGTGTTTTAATGTCAAAATACGGAACAAAGAATTAATTATCACATTACAAGGTTGATCGATCTTCTAGTATAGATTTTTCTAACCTAGCATGATGGGAAGAAGAACACAACAAAACAATAAAAATCAAGAAAAGATATCACCCTATTGAATTCTTGAAGTGAGACCTTGAATCTTGGATTGAATTTTCTTGTTCTTCCTTCTTCTTTCTCTTCAAATCCTCCCAAAATAATGTATAATGCGTGGTCCATATTTTTGGACGTCCCTACGGCTTTAAAAGACTACCCAATATTTGTTTCCATAAGAATTTCATTTAGAAAATGAAACCAGATTTTTTCACCGCGATTAGCTTGAGCTGTCGCCCAGGCAAAACTCGGACAGTCACTCAGGCCAAGAACTTCTTCTCGGTAATTAAAAAATCATGTTGGGCGATCGCCCGGTATTTATAACTAGGCTGTCGCCCAAGCAAAATTTCTTCCATATGTTGCATTTTAGCCCTCGAAATCGATTTTTGATTTTTTAAGTCCTTTCTCTGGCATTTTCAACCATTTGACTTTTAATTGCATCAAATTGAACCCACAACATCTTTAATCTTCATTTTGTGATCCGAATCAACTATTGAAATGTTGTAACTTAGTCCTCATACTTTGGATTTTCTTCCTTTTTGGTTCTTTTTCGTTTCTTTTCTTTTGAATTTCACCACATTCATCAATATAGTCTTACAAAACATAATTACATAGAATTAAATCATAATTTAAACTTTTTGATCATAATTGAGTCATATTTGTGAACTAAATAAGTGTGTAAAAACACACTTGTCACTTCATAAGACATCTTCAACAAACGTAACTTCAACTAAGCGATTTTTGGTACAAAGATATTATGCAAGTCTGACACTTACTAGTCAACTTCACTTCATATATATACAAAGATTTTTTTGTGATTAGTCGGCTTTTCAACCTACTTTTCATATGACAAATCTATGACGTAAGGTGGATACGTTCTATCTCATTTAAGATCACCACAGGCCTAGAACAATTGGGAGTGACACCTATCAAGTCTGACTCATGAGCCTTTGAGATGACACCACGTGTCAATCATCTAATGGACACAACTTCTTCCTTCCTTCTATAAAAGCTCACACTTATTGTCTTTCAATCTAATTAAATTTCATACATCTACAATATATTGCAAGAACTTGGTATTTTATCTTCAACTTGAATCCTGTTACTTACATCCATTATCTCTTTCACTCCCAAAATATCTTCCATCGTTGACTAGATGTGACCGTTGAAGTGTTTGTAGCTGCCTGCCTAAGATATGGTCACGTGCACTAATGCTTTGTGCTAGTGTGTAGAAGAGAGTGGTACCGAGATTTGTTGGCCAAGTGTCTTGCCAAATTTTGAAGTCAAAAGATTGACACAAAATGTGAAAAAGTATATTTTAAGCACGAGCATATCCCAAGAGCAAAAAGCCTACTAGAAAACTAACTTCCTTCATATTTGAAAAAAAGTGATGTTCTTAAAAAAAGAATAAATAGAAGTTTCGAAGAAAAGCTCAACAAAAGCTTTATTTTCGGCCCTTCATTCCTTAAAGAAACAAAGGATAGTGTGTTTAAGATTCTTTTTTAAGAAAGACAAGAAGAAATTCCCAAGAAATCAACCCAAGGAAATCCCCATTTGAAGAAAAAGATGTGTCTTGACAAAAATGAGCGGGAGTTAAGGCAACGACATAACATGCAAAGAGTGATATGAGGTGTCTCCAAGAATGAAGCCCAATTGACCTGAATCCACATTCGTTGGGCTCACCACAAGAGAGGGAGAATGGTTGCTGCTCACCTTACTAGAGAAGTGGCAGGTGTTGGCGCCAACATGAGGAGCATCACGGAGCAGAACTCCACCATGCAGCTTCTCCTCCAATAAATGCAGGCACAAACAGACATGCAAATGCCTCCTAATCTACCTCACCGAGGTTTCTTACAACTCCATCTTCAAAGTTAATGGAGGAATCTAGCGGGGAAAAGAGGACAAGGTGCAAAGTAATAGACCCGGCCCAAAGTCAAAGGGATGAAAGAGATATAAACCCTGTTGAAAGAGATGTGAAGGTTGACTTCTCACAAAACCATCCTTGAGACCAACCAACTACAGACCAGTTCAATGCAAAGGATAACTTCTTACTCGTCTACGAGCGAAAGCAAAGAGTCAAAGACCTTCTAGGTACATTAGTAATGTAAGGAATGGACTACAAACGCCATATAAGGGAGATGCATGTGGATGTATGAAAGGTGATGAAGGAGAAACAACACCAATGTAAACACTAAATAAGGGAGGTGATGAAGGAGAAACCACCAAAGCAAACACCATGTGAAAGACCTACAGATCAAATGGAGACTGGAGTTGAAATTGTTGCAACTGGAGTGACGACGTCTAAAGTAGTTGCAGAAGGTGCAGATTCAAACTTGTTCTTACGATATCGGTTATATATTTATGTAAAAAGGCCAATTTAATCCACAACGAACAGAGAACTGGGTTTCAGATATGCTCTTCATACATTAATATATGTAGACACACCGCATATGCATAGAAAATGACAGGGAGATTTGGCCTTCAACATTTACGCAGAAAATGATTCACTAAAATGAGGAGTCGAAAATATTATTTTTGAAATTAGGGAAGTGAATTGTATGCGACACAATAATGGAGAAATGGGATGGAAAGGACCATTTGCATGATGAAAGGTTGAAATAGAGACTTCACTGCTAAAAAATGGAAAGATAGGTCTTCAATCCGCAACAAGGGGCAAACTGTAGGGACCATTGTGTGCAAAAATCCTTTTTGTGCAAATATGTTCCTTGTTTGATTTCATTAATTTATGGGGTTTCCAACTTGGCTCGGTTGTATGGGTCCCACCATGCCACTAACGTTTGATTTTGCGCCCATCAAAGCTCACAACTTTAGTGCCCTGTGGTCAACTACGTCAACTACCCGTCTCTTACTTCCCGGGGCACGATTTCCGGATTGTACATCACTTGTTTTTGTGTACTCCCCATGCCGGTGGTCAAAATTTGACCTCCACGCCATGGCTAATTAATCTTGACCATTGGTTTAGATGAAATAAAATTATGATATATGATTTTAGGATCTTACAATACGTATATTAAGTTTTACATAATAAATAATATAATATCACATGACATTTTATTATTTATAAAAGTAAAATACAATCAGCTTTTTTCATTTAATCTTTTCCTTCAACGTCATTTTTGATAACCATTTATGTACTTTTTTTATGTAAAAATAACAAAATTCATGATTTTATATTAATATCATTCAAGTGTAATGATTTATACTTGAAGTAAATAATAACTGAGGGCAAGCAAAATTTAAAGTTAATAATAATTAGCCAACCTAAATTTTTTCTGTCTATTGATAATATTTATAATTTTACATATTAACCGTCCTAATAATATACAATTATAAAGTAAGAACAATCCTGCTAGATTATATTTATTTGTAGAATAAATCTATTATAATTAATTTACGCAAACACTAATTATACAAAAATTGTGATAAGTAACTGTTTGGACTGTGTAGAACTTTTTCATGATATAGAGTGTTTGGTAATGATTAAAATTAGATTTTTTAGTAAATTGTGATAGAAGTTTTTGAAATATGTGGTTAAAAAGTTGTGGGACTCATAAAAAATATGATTAATATTGATTGTTTGACTTTAATTTAAATTAAAATTAAATTTTAATCCAAATCAAACGGACTGATAAAGTTTACTTTGATTTGACCACATTAATATTCAAGTCAAAAGTAGCATGAATATATTTCATATGAGTGGCCGTCGGTGGGTTAAATAAACTACTTCAGCTGACCTAGTTGACACTATAACATACTTCGTTTTGAAATGTTTTGCTATGGGCCAAAATCAGTGACTATATGAAGACATAGTCAGGCACTTAAAGAAAGGTGAAACCGCGTAAGAAATAGAATACTTGTATGCCTGCCTGGCTCCATCACCATGTGACTCATCTAATCTTGCTTTGTATTAAAAGTCTTCTCATCTACTTCACTGAGTTTCACACACTAAAACGTGTGTATTCAAATCCCAATAAATGCCATTCTCTGAAATATAGATCCAATTGAAAAGTCTCATTAGACAGAGCTCTTCAAAGAAAAAATACCTAGATTTCAGTACATATGGCTCCACTAGAAGGTTTTAGTCTGAAAAAGGTACTGTTTTTGCTGCTGCTTCTCTTTGTTTTCTTCTGTTCAACATTCATTTCTGCATACCAACCAAACAGTTTTGGAGGAAGAAGATCAATGTTAGAGGTAGAAGAAGAAGATGAACCAGTTATTAAGAAGAAAAGTACTTCCACCAAAGTATCTTCCTTAAAAAACACAGCCAAGGTTAGTAAATCTATTACAGGTTCAACCAAGAACCAAACCAAGCTTATTAACCTTCCTTCTGATTCAACCAAGAACAAAACCAAGCTCATTAAATCCACATCTGATGGTTCTACACCCACAATCAAATCCCAGCTCAAGAAACTAAATTCCACTTCAAAAACCTCAAATTCTACGACTACAAAGACCAGTTCACTTTCCACCAAGAAATCTTCAGATTTAAACAAACTGAGCTCATCACCCAAGAACAAAACAACAAAGCCCACCATTACTCTTAAAGAAACCAAAACCAAAGCCCAGTTGGAAAATAGCCTAAGTCAATCCAAATCCAAAAACCCAGAAAAAATTCAGCCCAAGAAGGCCCAAAAACAGTCACAACCAAGCTGGATTGATCAAGATGATGAAGATGACTTGGTTTCTGGGTTCAGAGACCTCCCATCCAAGTTTCAAGAAACTCTCTTGCCAGATTTGGAAAGAATTTCCAAAACCTCAAAAGTTTATCTTACAAAATATAATAAAGAATTTACCAAAGGTTTCAAACCTTATGTTGGGAACAAATATGCACCAGAACTCCGCTTTTGGTTAGGAGCTAAAACAATTTGGAATTCTACTTCATCAGGCACTCTCCACTCGCCTGGATTTCCAACGGGATATACCGAACTTTCGTAAGCATTTACATATGCTTCCTTTGTGTAATAATAGGAACAGTAAGAATATGCATCCCTTTTTGTATGTGCGATTACAGCTAATGTATGTGGACAAGGCATCAAATCGACTTGCAGCATCCTGCAAGTGCATGTACGTTGCTCAATATCAACAACAAATGTGGACCTTTCATCGCTCACGGAGAACACTGTTTGGTTGGAAGGAGATACCTGTGAGAGTGTAATAGCACCAATGTTATGTGTTAGTTTAAACTCAAAAAAGAATAGGTCACAGACATTCATATCTCAGTGCACAATGGTATGTTCAGGTCACAGGACTTCATACTCAGGTCACAGGTTTAGCATTAGTAACAAATTATATAGCACGACAAACAAAGTACATAGCGTCACATATGTAAATTAGTGGTCACATGAAATTAATATTTGGACACATAAGCACATACGTACATTCCATGTCACAGACACCTATGATATAATCACATGCATATTTCTGTTTAGTCCACATACACGAACTTCAAGATACCTAAGAACCTTACCCTCAAGTTCCTTAATTCTGAACTCATTCTCCTCATGACGTTCTCGAACTTGCTAGTCAGCATCGTGAAAGTTTCATGCGCTTCGTCTCTATGTTTACAGAACCAATTTTGTACTGTTTGTCACAATGACTCCAGCAAGAATACAATGGAGTAATTCTTAGCTGCCTTTGTGACCGCATTTACTGATTCTACAATGTTTGATGTCATTGTAGAGTATCTGTTTGCCGGCATATGTATTCGTGACCACTTTTCAGGGCCTACTTCATCCTGCCAAAATATATCGTAGTATGAGAATAGTATAAAAGGATATATGTGACCACTTCACTGCATGTGATAATGCAGTGCTGTAATCAGTACAGTACCAGGTAATCAAGAATCTTATCATTCATTGCGTCTAGTTGTTGCATGTTGTATTCAAATTCTTCTAATGTGTAAGCCCAGACAGCCGAATTGAAAGCCTGCGTAATATTTTGCCCTGATTTCCCATAATATGATTTGAGATTCTGCAGCAAATGGTACGAGCAGATACCATGGCAACTTTCCGGGTACACCTGTTTTATTGCTTTCTTTATACTGCCATGACGGTACGATACAAAACACAATCCTTTTCTGTGCCCATATGCATTCTTCAGTTTCTCCAAAAACCATCTCCACGATTTATCGTTCTCATTATCCCCTACTCCAAAGGCAAGAACAAATATGCCATTATTTGCATCCTGTGTACATGCTGTGAATAGAGTACCTCCGTAATGACCATTCAAATAAGTATCGTCAACGACAATTACGGGCCTACAATGTTGCCACCCCTGTATTGATGCACCGAGTGCCATAAAACAGTACTTGAACCTATTGTGACTATCGACCTCCAACTCTGTGACCGTACCAGGATTTCTTTGTCGAATCATGTAGAAGAAGCTTGGTATCCTATCGAATGATTCCGTCGGATCACCCCTAATCATCTTCAATGTTTGTTCACGGGACCTCCAAGCTTTCGAGTAATTCAAATATACTCCAAACGTATGTAGCATATCACTGCATATGTCCTTTGGTGTGTATATGGTGCCAGCCGATGTGTACTTGTACTTGATGCTAGATGACACAACTGCAGCTGATACTTGTCTGTGTGACCCCAATACCACATTTGATGCACATGTGTGACTACCAATCTTTCGAATCTTGAATAGATTCGTTTTACCCCATTTTGACAATCGGCATATCCAAGTACATCCTTCATTAGAACACCTCACCACATATTCTTTCTTGTCGGATCGTTCAACCATAAACTCAAACATGTTTCATATGGCAAAAAACAATAGGCTCAATTTTAAAATATCCTTATCACGGAAAATCCTGCCTTCTTCGACCTGAATAGCATCTGCTATAGAAACAATCGTGACTTCATTATCACAAATGTGACCTAAATGTTTACTTGATGCTTCGCAAATTTCTGTGGCCACATCCTGCAACGTATAAAGCTCACTGTTACGATAAGCATTATCTGTGACCATGTCAGACGGGTACTGTATTGTTGCATCAATTATGTCAATGATTAATGGTTATTTAGCTGGATCACGATCGACTTCTTTCGACAGAATGTATGCAAGCACGTTGCTGTCATTTTTTATCCTGATTGCAGGCAAATCGTCGTTGAGTATATACTTCAATGATACTGCTACCTTTGTCGGATCCAAACTGAGCTCTGACATAATCATGTTTACAAGGTTTATATAACTGCATCCACAGTCTACCAACGCCAAAGCTGGCTGAGATCCAAGCAACAAACATACATGCAAGTACACCATTTCTACAAAATTGAACTTCAAAGCATCACATTCTCGATGGTTAATTTAATACTGTGCATACAGTTTTATATAAGAATTTATGCAATAACATGAAGTCACCATTGACACGGAAAAATGCAGGTCACATTTTGCCGAGACACAGGTCACATTTGTAACATGTCTTACAAATAATCAAAAACAAATTGAGGTCACATTTTTTTCACAGCAGTCACATTCAATATTGTCTACGACTGCTTACACTCAATTAAGTCACATCTCATACACGTTGTTCATTTTCCACTGCACAATATTATTGAATTTGAGACATATGTGGCTACGATAGATACGGACGCTGAAAATTTGCGTCTAGAAGAAATTCGGAACTAATCTGATGATGCTAATTGCGAAAAAGGAAGGAGTGCAATAATCGGACCAATACCTGGATTGATTTCTGTTATGCGAAAACGTCAATTTCTCCAAGACGATCCCAAATCTGTTACACGAAAATATCAATGTCGATGAATTAGGGTTCAACAGTGTCTGGATTGAAATTACTCTGGATATTTTATTTTTTATGATGATTTTGTAGCGATAGAGACGTTTTATTGATGGAAACTAGGCGGGATTATAGGAAAGATACGTAACAGAAATATATATATATACCTGATATTTGAATATATACTTTCTATACCTCAATTGCGAAATGAAGTCAAGTATACACCTTATATATGAATTTTTCCCTTTTTAATTTCCTAAAAAGTTTTTTACTTATTGAAAGCCCAACCAAAAGTGCCCCTTGTTTGAACCCCCTTCTTTAAAATTTATTTTTTGTCTAACTCATTTTCAATTACATATGCTTTTGATAAAATAGTTTTGCACATAAATCTAAATATTTTTTTACTTTTTAGGTCGCATTCTTAAAAAGTAACTCTATATAAAAAATTTATTCCTAAAAAATGAGACTTAAAAAATTTATCTCAACACCGTGTTTTATTGGTCTCACTTGTAAAAAGATTAATACTGGAGAATTGCACAAGGAAAAAGATCAATATCATCAAACCCGAAAACTAGTCCAAATTTTCGGCCATTGAGTTTCAATTTTTCATGTTCTTGCTCCGAGCCAAGAAATAAGAAATTGAGTGACTAAACACTACAGGTAATGGCATAAGATTGCAATAATAAATATTATGTTTACATTTTTTCATAGAATGCCATTCTTGTGCGGATGAACATACATGTGTAATTTTTTATGATACAAATTTAAACAGCACACAATAAAATTGATTAGAAATGACCTATTCCGTTTAGTACTTCAGATGCTTCTGTTGCGTATAATGTAAATTCCGTAGCGGATCAATTCCAACGAGCCTTTCAAACTAGTACTTTAATTTCACTACCAAACACCGATAATACTCCAACCACAATAAATAAATAAAAATTGATTAGATCATATTTACAATTTTTTATTAGTTTATCATTTTATCCTCTCCATTGATCCCCTAAATTCAAGGGCAACCGCATTGTTTAGCCAAATATGTATGTTGTATCAGGAGCAATGTTTTAAAAACAGACCCGATCATCAGCCCGAAAAAGAGGAAGGATCAAGGGTTAAAAGATCGAACCGGTGACTTTTATATAATTAAAATATACACACACAAACACACACACACACACTTATAAATATTTAAATCAAATCACAAAAACAATCAATTAGGTCAAGTGCAACTCAATCCAATTAAATAATATAAATAACTTAATAAGTCACTAACATAAAGTAAACAATAACGTCAATAATTGAATAACATGACAACTTAAATAGCTAAAATTTAGAAGTTTCACATCAACTGTCACCAATGAAAAAATGTCAAGTAATAATTGAAACCAAAAAGTGTACTAAACATAAAAAATTAAATAGTTAAATTTCGTCTTTGTCATTTTCATCCATAAGCCTTTAATCCTTGATCACTTCTACAATCACTTGAACCACGAAAATGATGAATAACATCCATCGTGTCTAAATCTCCCATCTCTTGAGTATTCATCTCATCGTTATTTTCAGTGTCATCTAAGAAAAAAAACCAATATAATAGATAAAAGTATATGACTAATGTTAAAAAAAAAAATGATAAAAACAATAAGTTTAGATTATTATACTTGCAAACCTTGAACATTGTCATCTTCATGATCATTGACATTGGAAATTGCATTTTCTTCATAAATAGCATTATTTAATTCTTCATACTCGAAATCCTGTGGTGGCACTTCTTCTTCTATCCAAAAGTTTATTTTTTCAATACATTCATAATCAACTGAATCATAAGATCTCTTCTTATAATATCGTCTATAAGATTGTAAATGATTAGTAGTTAGATAAAGAAAATATATCAAATAAATGAATCATTAAAATAAACTCTTGATGTGATAAAAAGTTTAAGATTATATACCTATTCTTTAATCGCAAATTATACGTAATATACACAAGATCGTTGAGTCTTTGATGCTCCAATCTATTTCTTTTTTTCCGTGTGAATACGTTCAAAGACGCTCCAATTCCTTTCACATCCCGAAGAAGAAGCTGCTTGACCAAGAATTCAAACAGCTATCTTTTGTAAGGTAGGAGCACTAGATCCACACGATTTCCACCATTCTTCTGCATAATTTAATGAAATTTGTTTTAAGCACTAAGAACTATTAAAAATGAACAATAAATAACTAAATACAAATTCTCATCAGGTTGTAATGATTTTTTAGTATTACATGCAGATTGCCTTCGAAAACTCCATTCACGTTCTCGATACATCCTTATCTCCCCCATTGCTTTTGTCTCATCACCACAAATGCTTTTGATTTCAAGCAAATTGAATAGACCTTTCATGACTTCTATTTTTTGACAAAATCCTTCTTCATAAATAAAAGCAGGATTAAAAAAATAAGTTGTTGCATGTATGTTAAGTAGCGAAGATGTTTATCCCATCGCTCTTTAATTATATCAGTGGAAGGTTTGTACAATCTCTTCTTACTTAATAATATATTCTTGATTCCTTTTCGTGTCCTACGCATGCCATTATATACATAAACCAATGAAGGTTTTTCATCTGAATGTACAATTCGTAACAATCTTATAATAGGAGCCACAATTTTCACAATCATCAAGCAATCCTCCCAAAATTTGTTATCTAAGATGATAGAACTCACGAGTCTTCCATTTGCACTTTTTGAAAGCCTATGGCTTGTAAAATGCCTACTTGTTGCCAAACTCTGCGATAATTGTTTGTGATCATAAATGCATTTCAATGTAATAAAAATGGTAGCAAAATGAGTCATAGCTGGACGTACAATTTCTCTCCGTTCAGGTACTTTTCTCAACCAAGACAAAAAAATTGTGTGATTATACACAAATATTGTAATTTTCAAAGCACATACTGCAAGTGAATGTACGTGAGGCATACTACTAATATATTTTAGAATAAGATTCAAACAATGTGCAGCACAAGAAGACCAAAAAATGTGATCATATCTGTCATGCAATAATTTCCCTATCGCCACATAGTTGCTGCATTATCAGTTACCATATGAACTACATTACGAGGTCCAACTCATTCAACTATCTCAAAAAATAAATTACACAATGTTTGAGCATCTTTCACTACATCTGGTGCATCATAAGATTTTATAAATATAATCCCAGAAGAGCAATATACTAAAAAATTAATCAAAGTTCTATGTCTTTGATCTGTCCAACCATCGGCCATAATTGCGCATCCATTATTTATCCACTGACTTCGATATGTGTCAACAAACAATGGGCATTCTTTCTTGTAATCTCTCAACAAATTAACGCGAATGTCATTATGAGAAGGACCTTTAAATCCTAGACTAATTGCAGCAGTGGTATCTAAAGCAAGTTGAAAGTAAGGTGATTGCAAAGCATTAAATGGAATGCAAACATCATAAAACCACCTAGCCCAAGACATATGGGCTCTCTTTATTGCTTGTTTACCAGCTAAAGCACTCTTTCAACTAGGTTGAGATCCAGGAGTAGTCTTTGGAGCAAAATATGTTTCAATACCTTCACTTGCTTTCCTCTTCCCTTTTTCTTGTCTTTGCTTTTCTAATGATATATTCATTTCTTGAATAACCTCTTCTATTTCCTCTCCTCCAGTTTCTAAATCTATATAATTGTCCTTAAACGTACAATCATGAGCCTCTTTAGCATCTTGTTTCTTTTTAGATAAATCCCTAAGAATACCTTGAAATTTAAATCGAACATCATAAGTAACTTTCTTACGTTGAGATATTTGACTTTTAATTCCAGCAAGATGATACTTTATTCTGTTAATTCCACCACCTTTAAAGCTATTGTTGCAACAAAGACATGTGAAACGTGCTTTACCGTCAATATCATGAGTTGAAGAAAAGTCTTCTCATGCACGGTCAGTCTTTGCACGGCTCGATTGTGCGGCACCTATTGAATGACTTTCTGAAGGTTGACTATTGCAATCTATCCTAAATAAAAGCAAATAAAAGTATTAAAGTTAGACGAGTATTAAATGTTAATACAATTAAAACATAACACTAACCAAGTAAACTTCTCAAAAAAGGAAAAAATATCAATGTTCTTTATGGATTATCACACAAAACATCTCAAAAAAAAGTAAAAATATGATGAATTCCACCAAGTCATTAATGTTAATTTCTATAAGCCATAGAAAGGGGGTCAGCAAGATAATTGGAAACTTTTCTCTTCTTGAATTGAATGCCAATCTTTTCTTCCATGAACACTGTAAAGTATACCCTGTCGAATAAATGAAGACAAGAAAACTGGTTGATAATAAATGAAGACAAGTATACCCCGTAGAGTAAAAAATTGATTACCGATTATATTTATTCATGAACACTGAACATACAAATGTAGTCATCATGAGTCATGACAGAACAAGCTTCGGGCACCAAGTTTTGTGCTTTGGACAAGTTTAACACAACTAATATCATACTTTGTCTGAGGAAAATAAAACATTCATGACTTGCAAATTGCAATTACTCTTACGAACGTATTTGTAGGAACTCTATTGCAACATGGCTGGCTTGTTTGGCCTGCTTTTAATCTTTATCATATAGAAGAAGAACAAACAACAAAATCCAACAAATTTTCCAAAATCTGAAATTAGATATGAAAAAAAAAAAAAAAAATACTCAACATAATATTCAAAGCCAAGAGAATATGAAACAAAAATAACCTTGTCCCTAAATCAATTCATAATGAATTTTCAATTTGGAGGAAAATATAAAATTTTAAGAAGATAAAATGAAATACAGTGACAAAATCAAAGTGTTTAAAATAAAACATGATAATTGATAACAATAAATCTCAAACCTTGGAAGGGGAAGGAGAAGAGACAAAGTCGACGAGCCAATAATCAATCAAAGACGAGAAGGACAAGAAAGAAACGCTGGAATTTGGAAGGGAAAAGAATCAGGGTTTTGGTCTTCTGGAATCTGGAGTTTTGGAGGAATTTTGGGTAAGTTTAAACCCGTAAACCGTTGCCGGGTCACGGGTTTTCAATAAACCGCCCGGTTGGATGGTTTTTTAGACGGGTTTTCATATTGAGATTTTAGGATATTGACCGGACCGGATTTGGACCCGGCTTCCGGGTTTTCCTGTTGAACCGTCCGGTCCGATCCGATCCGATTTTTAAAACATTGATAAGGAGTTAGTTTAGAGTAGGTGTGGCAACCCTAGTTTAGGGCCGGGGCTAGCCAAGTTCCGCTTGTGTCCACAAACAAGCTTCGACTGTGCTCTTTGACTTGTGTGAATACAGCCAGAGCTCGAGTCAGCATGCTAGATCATGAGCTTCATTTTTCTAAAGAAATTAATAAAATAAGCTAAAAAAATAAACAGAAAATGAGTCGATCCAAGAGCTCAAGACGAAACATGTGAAAATTTGAGCTCATTTCGATTCATGATTCGTCTCAATATGAACCCAGGTTGCCAATGGATTGAGATGGGACCAAGAGCCAACAAACAACTCAGTCCGTTTAACTCCTAGTTTAGGGTGCTCTTTTTTATTTATTTATTTACTGAAGTTCAACAGTAGAGTCATAGATAACATACATCAATTTTAACTCGTAAAATGACTATCTCCTTGCTGGAATAAATTGTAATCTTAAAAATGACACAATTTGATCTAAGTAAACATGCATCTACTATTGTAGGTATTCCAAATTCCTTCCCATCTTTTTCATGTTTCATGGTGTTGCGTGTTGTCACACTTGTCCTACCCACCTGGGCCAGTGGCCCACTCATCCTGATCCACGTGGCATTCCTGCCGAGATGACCCACATTGCCGATGTGGGTTATATCCGAACTGCTTCTAACCGAGGCCCATGGCCCGAGGCGTGGAAGCTTTTAATTGTAGCTGAGGTCCTCAAATGGACGAAGCCCCGAAGTTAATGCGCGAGCCTCAACCACAAGGAAACATCCTCCATGGTCACTTCTCCCAAGAGATCGCCTGCACAGATCTTATTCGAATGATTGATGGAATGTCTGTCATAAGCATAAAGGTCAAGTCTTGTCACTAGCATGGAGACCCTGCACAAGCAATAAATGCGCCGTAAGCTAGCGAGTCAAATCTCATGCCTAAGAACAGACGTTTAAACCAAGGAGATGAGGTCACGTGCCACTTCATCCAAGGGCCCCCATTCCATATGTATCACTATAAATACCCCAATTGTATAATGTCAAAAGGCTAATGCAAGAATCAATACTAAAGACTACATTTACTCAACTCTCTCAGTGACTTGCAATACGTAAATCGAGTTTATACACTTTTACATATACATCTACGAGCACCGGTTGGTAATTATTGTACAATCGGATCACGAACAACCCGTCGGATCCCGAACGTCACCGTCCCGCGTCGTCGGGCTACTCCCACGCCCCTTTGAACCACTCGTTTTAGACCGTCCACGTGTTGGACATTCGCCCACACAAACGCGGGTGGGACCGACATCTGTTGGCGCACCTTTTGAGGTCAACACATAGGTTTAAGAAAATGTTCAACCAGCATTTCATTTGCATGAACTAACATCACTTGTTATAGACACATGTTCATTAACCTCCGCGTGCACAATATCATGTTTTCATTTTTATTTTTTTTTTCCTCCGGAGCAAGTTTCAATGAATTGACGAATTAAGAATTCAGCTTTGATTTTCTGAACATTAGAAGCATTTTTGAGTTCCGATTGCATACACCGAAACAAACTAATGTGCAAGTAAAATTTATAAAACAATCATGGGAAGTCCCAAGTTTCAGCCCCAGAAATGTAACTTGCCACCGCACTCAAAAAATTTAAAACTTAATGTACGAATAAAATTTATATATAATAAGAAAAGTCGTAATATAACATTACCTGTACAGTTGTACTCGACAGTTGGAAGATGAAGGCCGTTCAACTTCAAGAGTTGAGATTGGAGGAATGGGCACCGTGGGAATTGGAGTACCCTCAAATTTGTTGCTCTTTGAAAAAAAAAGGATAACAAGTTTCTTTATTTCTTGACAGAAGGTCGTCTTCTTCCATATTAAATCTAAAAAACATAAAAATCAAAATACTTCAATATCCCCTAAACATAAATTGAGAATAATCAAATCCATCAAGCACAATTGCACAGAAAATAGCTTTGTTTAATTACCTATAAGTTAGCTTTATTTTAATGTTTAATTACCAGAAACCAGTAGTCTACTTTGTTTAATTGCACAATTCTTTGGCAATTGCACAATGAAAGCTAACATTTCCATTTTCCCAAAATCCCAATAAGCAACTTACAATTGCACAATGAAAGCTAACATGCTGCGGATGCTTTGCACATCATTTCGACATTTCCCAAAATAATTACAATTTAAATGTGATGCTTATGCTTTGCACAATTACAATTTACTGTTTACAAAATGTTATGGAATGTGAAATTTCATCCAAAAATAAACTCCTCAAACCTCAACTAGTTCGATTCTTTGTTGCTAACACATGAAAATACTTACAATTTATAATAGTTGAGGCTAGTGGTCCGCCGGTCGACAATAGCACGATCGATGGCTCGTGAATGGGCGAAAAGATTTAGGGTTTAAAGAGGGGAATTATTTCTGGTTTTCAAATGACAAGAATATTGAAGAAAAAAGCATTGTTTTAAAAATTGGGCCTAAAACTAAATAAACAATTGAGCCAAAAATTAAAAGAAAAAATTAGTTGAGAAATTGAGGTGGGTGGCCTACTGAAAGTAATTGTTGGTTGGCTATAGATTACAATTAAAACTATTTTTCAACTAATTTTATCATTTTGCAGTGTATCCGAGCATGGAATATAGAATTTGGTAAAATAGGAGGAATTGAAGTGTAAGATGGTAACTATTGAAAGTAAGGTATATGTTCGTGGATTCTTGGCACTCCAACGTGAAAATTATGAGGTGTTAATACTGGTGTTTTCTGCTCATAAAGCCAAAAAATTGAAATTAAAATTTCAAAATTATCATCAAA